CATGTGCGGATTCAAACCAAGACCTACTGTACTGCCACCAGGCAAGTGTCAACTACTGCATTAATGCAGCCGACTTAATTGAACAACAAATTATTAATTGCTTTGGCAATTTGTCAAGAATATTGTGTGTACTATATCTTTGTCAATTTTATAATAAATAACCTGTTCTGATTTACAAAGGCAATCAAAGGCTTGTACCGACCTCTGCAAAACGATATTGCATGACCGAGAAGACTTTGAAAGACCCGAATCCAGAAAATGGCTGAATGAACAGGGTAAAGATGCAAACACAACTTCAGTTACATCGGAGCAAAGGAGGTTGCGAACTGATGAGACAGCCAAAGCCACCTATGACAACGATAAACTGTTTAATTGGACCACGAGTAGGATGATGATAAACCGTGTGTAGTCATCAGATCAGTGGATTGGGGGAGGGGGGGGGGAGGAACTAACCTGCAGAGATGTGTTTTAATAGACACATAATGAGAACATTATAAAGATAAAAACAGATCACAGATAAAAACTTTAATAAGTGAGAAGAACTCGTTACCCGCGTCGGAGGGAGACACACTACATTCTCTGGTCTCATCGTGGAAAGTGAAAAGTCAGTAGTTGTGACAACTGGAAGGTTGAAGTGGGTGAGACGTAAATAATAGATCTAGGACTGTTCAACATAGTCACTGCCAGCAAGGGCTGTACGTAGACGAGACAACCGTGAAAAGAATTGACAACCGCACGGCGTGGACTGCGATAACAAGAATTTCACAAGGGTGCCCCTGTGCCAATACACAAATTTAACGTTAAAGGTTGAGTAAAGATTATCAACTTTATTGCACTGGGTTTTATCCCACAAGGCTCGGCCTCTCTCCAGAAAACGGCTAGCAGCCTAGCGAAAATGTTTAACAAAGCTCCTATGATAATCCCTATGGGTCTCTGTAAAAACTGCACAATGAACCAGAGGACGCAAACGACTTAACCACATGGCCACGACAGAGACCGTCCCGCAGCATCCCCCCCCCTTCCCCCACCCACAAAAATATAACCCAGTTAATTATCTCTTTCAACACTGAGCGTCTCGACATAGTTCATTAGCTGCTTTGGAACTGCATACATTTCTTAACTTCTTCATTGCTTTTATTTTGTAGCATTAATATATTTCTGTTCCCTTACTAAATTGGATTAGGTTAGAATTGACATTACAGCACTCAGGGCATTCCCATGCATGTCCCGTCCTTATCTTCAGCAGCCAGGGCAGAGTTCCAATACTGATGGTGCCGGTCACAATCTGGTTATATGTTCCTCTTGCCTTTCCTTTGAGTGTAGTGAGCCGACCAGACCCTCTGGTTACACTCAGGTGCCTCATTCTCTCCAGGTCATAATAATCTTCTTTCTCTACTGATTCCGTTGCTTGTTCCCAAACGGCCACGACCATGTCTGCCTTGTCATTATCAATTCACCACCAAGTGGTGCAGATCCAGCCAATCTCTCTGCCTAATCATTAGCCACCACGCCAGCATTTCCCGGAAAAAAAAAGATCAAAAGTATGCTCACTACCCGTGACCTTTCCTGTGTAGCCTTCCACGCTGCTAGAAGCATCCCTGTCTTCGCCTTTCTCCGCATGCTTTTAGAGTCTGTTACAATTACGACATGTGTATGCATCTTCCACCTCCATCCCCATGCTAGATGTTGTGGTGTCATAAGATAGGCTGCTCATTGAATAATGTGTGTTTAGCCAGACTCTGAATTTGTTTCTATAAAGCACACACACTTCAAGCTAGTCCAGCGGCACAAACACCAAGAGCATTTTTATATAGACTAATCCATGGGTTCTGTGGTCAACACCCGCCATACACCTTTACTTTCTGAGGCATTTCCTGCTACCCTATAAATGCGGGGTCTACCTGGGATGTCCTGTCAGTCACAAGAATGCCACTTCCCCGCGGAGTCGACAATAAGACCCCGACATTGTCTCTAACCACTTCACTACCAGGCTCATTATTCTGCACTGACTCAGATCAATAAATAGTACTATATATTCTAATGAAGGCACACACCAAGAAATATAAAAGCAAAGTTGAATCACATAAAATGGGGCTTACTGAGCGGTTCGCCTCATCGGTGTATGTGGAAACAGATGTTATGTATCACATCATGGTAGAAATATTCAGGACGGCTGTTGTTCAGAAATAGATGTTAGTTTAGAGAACTGCATAAATTAAAGTTTGCCATTTATTTATTTATTTGTTATAAAGTTAGTCAGCAGTTCATCCTTATTGTCCATTAAACCATGTGTTCCGACTTCTTGTCCAGGATAGCGATAGCCAGCTAACTTTTGACCATCTAAAAAAAAAAAATTTTTTTGTTTTATTTTTAACCATAGCCTAATGATGCAAATTCATTATTTCTGGAACGGGAGGTCAACCAAAGATTCCGCTGCCCAAATACTTAGTGACTGGTGCGACACTGTGAGTTGTTGTCTCGAGGAAAGGTGTCCGCCTCTATTGTTAGAGGTTGCGGGTTCAACCCCTAGTAAGGGCTGGGAATTTTTTCAAGTAGACTTGGACTTCTAGTAATTCTCTGGGTAGTGAGATCGGACGCCCGTGTGCAATGTTGCGCACCTAAAGCCTTGGCAGTTGGAAATCGAAAATAGTACCCTTACGGAGCAGCGCGGGCAAATTTGCTAACCTAATCGTGTCTCAGTAGTAGACTGTAGCAAAGCATTACAATGGCTCCACGATCATCATTAGCTTAAATTTTACTACATGATAACTGTTGTTAAATTATTATTATGATAAACTTTTAAAATGACTCCATCTCCGTGATAATCATTAACAGTACACTATCTTCATTATAGCAGGTAATGTTACAGTGTCTATAAAGAGCTCTGATACTACAGTATCTCTAACAATCAAATGTACTACATGGTCTCTGCGATTAACACTAACATTACAGTATATCCATAATAGGTGTTAGCGTATCATTGTCTCTATGAGTACCTCTACCACAACAGTAAACCATAATATTCGTTAGTGTCACAATATCTCTGTGAGTACCTCTTATATTACTGTAAAACATAACATCTGTAAGTGTGACACTGTCTCTGTGAGTACCTCTTATATTACTGTAAAACATATCATCTGTAAGTGTGACACTGTCTCTGTGAGTACCTCGTATATTACTGTAAAACATAACATCTGTAAGTGTGACACTGTCTCTGTGAGTACTTCTAGAGGAGCGGCTGGCCGAACGGTTGGAACGTTGGGCTCTAATGCGGGAGACTCAGCTTCGAATCCTCGGTACAGCTGGGGATGTTTCTGTCGGAGGCAAATGAAAATTCTCACCTGCACATTCGTGGCGACAGCACTAGCCATGTGCCGTGAAGTCTCATGCTCAAAGACGTTCTTGCCTTCGCCGAAAAAGTGGTATATAATGTAGGCAGTCATTGGCAAAGTACCTCGACCATTACTGTAAAACATAATAGGCGTTAGTGTTACATTGTCTCTGTGAGTACCTCTAACACTAACGTTAACCACAAAAGGCGTTATGGTTACATTGTCAAAATAAAATCCGCAGCTTACAGTGTCGCGCAATGCACTCACCTCAATAAATGGGCGACAAAACTTTATCAATTCAGTCTACATATGGGGCAAAATGCAACCGCCAACTATTCTGAGAAGTAAATACTAGTCACGACTGTAAACAGTAAATCGGCCTATCCGCCATATTTACCAGAAGTCATATTCTCTGTACGAGTGCCGCTAACTTTACAGTAAATGCATGAAACTTTCTATAATATCTGACTCGTTGATAATCTCAAACATTCAACTATCTCCATGATAACCAGTTGTATTACAGTACCTCTTTAAAAACTGATAACCCTATAGTATGTCAACGATAAGCAATAGCATTACAGTACTTCTTGGATAACCGATAACCCTACAGTATCTCAATGATAACTAATAGCATTACAGTAACTCTAGGATAAAAAAATAGCCTTACAGTATCTCAATGATAGCATTAGTATTACAGTAAAAAGTTAGTTGCGTATCAAATACAGGACACTGCAGAACCAACCCCAGCATTGTTTGGCTGTTGCCGTTTTTCTAGTACACATTTAGCAGTTTACCACTGCCACCGAATTGTCAGCTCTCGATACCGTGTCTGCGAAACCAAGACAGTCTTCTAGCATTTCGAAGTGCGTTCTCAGCGCCTAAGCCACGCCGACAGCATCAGTGTACCTCTAGGATAACCGATAGCCCTACAGTATGTCACTGATAACCAACAGCATTACAGTACCTCTAGAATAACCAATAGTCATATAGTCTGTCAATGACAGCAACAGCTTTACAGTATCTCTAGGAGAACCAATAGTCCTATAGTCTGTCAATAACAGCAACAGCATTACAGTACCGCTAGGAGAACCAATAGTCCTATAGTTTGTCAATGATAGCAACAGCATTACAGTACCGCTAGGAGAACCAATAGTCCTATAGTTTGTCAATGACAGCAACAGCATTACAGTACCGCTAGGAGAACCAATAGTCCTATAGTTTGTCAATGACAGCAACAGCTTTACAGTACCGCTAGGAGAACCAATAGTCCTATAGTTTGTCAATGACAGCAACAGCTTTACAGTACCGCTAGGAGAACCAATAGTCCTATAGTTTGTCAATGACAGCAACAGCTTTACAGTACCGCTAGGAGAACCAATAGTCCTATAGTTTGTCAATGACAACAACAGCTTTACAGTACCGCTAGGAGAACCAATAGTCCTATAGTCTGTCAATGACAGCAACAGCATTACAGTATCTCTAGGAGAACCAATAGTCCTATAGTTTGTCAATGACAGCAACAGCTTTACAGTACCGCTAGGAGAACCAATAGTCCTATAGTTTGTCAATGACAGCAACAGCATTACAGTACCTCTAGGATAGCCAAAAATCCTTTAGATTGTCAATGACAGCAACAGCATTACAGTACCGCTAGGAGAACCAATAGTCCTATAGTTTTGTCAATGACAGTAACAACATTACAGTACCGCTAGGAGAACCAATAGTCCTATAGTTTTATCAATGACAGTAACAACATTACAGTACCGCTAGGAGAACCAATAGTCCTATAGTTTGTCAATGACAGTAACAACATTACAGTACCGCTAGGAGAACCAATAGTCCTATAGTTTTGTCAATGACAGTAACAGCATTACAGTACCTCTACTAGAACCAATAGTCCTATAGTTTGTAAGTGACAGCAACAGCAGTCCCATGCCTTTGTTGTATCTGCTGACATTAAAACCTCTGTATGATGGCCATGTATCTAACCTAGCTGCTCTCGTCCAGGACTGGTGATGTATGTTGTTGGCTTCAGCACTGACTGGTGGTGTGATCTGGATAACGAGGTTTACGCTCCGATCGCAGGGGCCAGGATCAACGCTCACTTCGGCTTGTGGCGAAAGTGCATCACCATCTCTGTCAACAATTCTGAAAGAGTTATATCTGATGGCTGTGAGGACATGGATAACGATGAGAGTAGGTGTTTTTTGACATATCTTGTTTCCTTTTAAAAAAAAATTTTGTACTGAAATTAAATATGTATTATTTTATTTGATATAATATAAAATGTATCACAAATACTCAAAAAGGGAAGTTATGTTCAAGATGAGGTGAGAATGAGGGGCAAAAGTAGTGGTTGAGGGAAGGGAGAGGGAAGGGTTTTGCTGGGAACATGTTTGCAGCCAGTAAACAAAAGATATGAGAAGACTGAGAAGGAACAAGAAGAAGAAGACATTTCTTCTTATTTTACTTTCATTTAAAAAAATGCTGACAGAAAATAAAAGAAATACTATATTTGAAATAATATACATTGTCTCAACAAGCAGTTTTAAAGGGGACTTCTGTTCAAGGTTGGTGGAGTTTGTGGAGGAGGAGAGAGGGCGGGGGGAGGTGTAGGTGAATATTGACATTAAAAAAAATAATTGTAAAGATATCAGTATTTGATCATTGCTGTTTACACCCCACCCCATCCCTCCCCCCCCCCCACCTTCCTTTATATAGCTGTTATTTATTATTTGATTATTTATTATTATTAGTGTTATTATTATTTACCCATTTCTGAAACTCTCAGCCCCTACTAGAAAATGTCTATAACAGCTGAGAAAAAACACGCCCCCCCCCTCTCCTCCCCCCCCCCCTCCCCCCATTTTTCCCGATTTGTCCAGCGCTCTTGACACACACACACACACACATATACAACACACACACAGACAACACACACATACACAGACAAGACACAGTCAACACACACACAGACAACACACACACAGACAACACACACATGCACACATAAACACACTGCATGTTGTTGCTACATAATGATAATCACCACGGCTGAAATTGTGCCGCGACAGGTGACGGCAGATGCGAGTAGCACTAACAAGCAGCACGTTATAGGAACAATCAAAGTGACTGAGGAACAAAGAGCATGATAACTGGAAGGGAATTAGTGTGCACAATATAAACAACTAATGCCTATCAATTTATCATCTTGTGCCGGGCTATCAGCTAAAGCTGTATTGTTTCGTCAGCTCATACAATCACCAGAATCGCAGACTGGTGTACCCAGTGAATGGCAGGTAGGTTATATTATAACGGAGGAGGTGATTTGAACCGGCTGACTCAATAGATAGCTTTTCCTTTGGTTGATCTGGTAAACACTGAACGTCTCACATATGAGGACAAAGGAACTACACTGGAGCCCAACAAAGCTCCCGAAGAAGGCTACATTGGATTTATGACACCGGTGGCCTGCAATACTGTCTCTCAGCCACTGGAACTCACACACAAGCTCCTGCCATGTTGAAGTTCTGGCAACAATAGGTAGCGTTTTGGGTAGGTTTGGTGATAGGTATGGTATGGGTGGTGATTATTGGTTGGACTGTGATTCGTCTGCCTAACTTCTAAGGAGATATCATCCTGTCAGAAAAGAACTCAGAATTAGTAATCATCTTAAGATGCACACACCAGCTCAACTTATCTCCCGCTACCCTTCTTAGTCACTCAGAGTATACTCTCAAGAACAGGAGACACTGTCCCCTTTCATTTATCTGTCTGTAAGTCAGTAACCAGATAGAAGACAAGGTACATAGTGGAGATAGATAGACACTACTACACATAGATCATCCTCTCTCCACCTTCCCATCTGCACCCGTAGACGTACATTCTATCCAGTTCGTACCTGTATATATTCCATATCTCCACAATCTGCCCACTACACACCCAATGTTGTCGTGCTAAAGTTAACCTTTGACTCAGAGCGAAGAGCTCTGACGTCACAGCATCTAGCCGGCTTAAGGATGACCCAGTTTACATATGTCTGCTAGTCGACACACAATCCGTTGTCTGGTAAGAGAATAATTAACTTGCTAAGTTTAATATCTTTACAATGGTGTGTGTCATGTACGGCACAAACTAGTTAGCCTGTGAAGGGAAAGGTTGCTTTAAGGCCTGGAGTGTCTGGATATCAAAAACGGCCCAGTTCACACAGCTGAATCTTTCCTCCCTGCAGCAGTGGCCAACTTTAAAGAAACATATATCATGGTACTCGTAAACTATAATCAACTTACCCAAGCTTAGGAATCCTTCAAAGATTAAACTGGTACTTTGAAAGCGCTAAAGTTAATGAGAGAATTAAAACGTCTCCCGACACCTCAGAGGTCTGGCAAAAGAATGCCCCTCCCAAACTAAGCTTGGCGTCTCTAGAAAAGAAGTCCTGTATTTGTGCCGAAGGAGTAAAAAGGCTTACAGGAATTTCTGAAAATATTCAAGAAATATCCACCCCACAGTTGCAAGTTTGAAAATGTAGACTTCTCAAAACAACTAGAGGGTATAGAAATGTTTATTTTCACCAGATAGAGGTTTATATTATTATGAGGGACTATATACCTCCCCGGACGGGTTTAAATTTGAAATGTGACGTGCCCGCTAGGGATGTCAGCGTCACGAATAGTCCACAATGTAGGGTTGGCTGTTCACTCCGAGACACAGGTCCTTCTCATTGTCACAGCATCTAGCCGGCTTAAAGATGACCCAGTTTACATATGTCTGCTAGTCGACACACACTCCGTTGTCTGGTAAGAGAATAATTAATCTCCTTAGAAGTTAGGCAGACGAACGATCCAACCAATAATCACCAACCCATACCATCCCTATCACCAAACCTACCCTTCTCATTGTCTTCAGTCAACACCGTGTTATTGGCGTATCTTATATTGTAGACGACGTATCTTCTGAAAGTAATTACTTGTGTGTCTTTTTGATGTGTCCTGACATTCTTCTTCTCCTTCTGTACTTGACTCCTGAAATGAGTCAGGGCATGAAGAGGTCACTGGAAGGGGTCTGATATTTCTGCGGGCTACATTCTGTCACTTAATACGGAAAAACTTTGTTAAGATATTTCAAATCTCTTTCGCTCACCTCCCTGGATTGGCTGGTACTTTATTATAGATTCTGATAGCAGCACGTTGTCTAATGTATGTTCTTATCCAGTCTCATGTCTTTACCATCAAATTGTAGATTTGTAAACATCTGTTTCATGTCGACTCTACTTATGCTTTTTATCATGTCAACTGTCCTTACCATTTTTGTCATGTCGATGCCCACCGAATCACCCAAACATACAATGAGTATTAGGAAATGTCTACGAAAGTAGAAGTTGCTGGTGTTATGTTGACCACATCCCCACTGAGTACCTATTGTTTCATGACATCAGGAGTCAAAGACTATAATCATTTGTAAAAAAAAAAAAAGTGTTCCTTCACTTTACTAACAATACACAATTGACAATTTAACTGTGAAACCAAAATGATCAATGTATCTACAGCCTACAAGCCAGCCGCAAAAACGCTCTGCTCTGTTGGATTGATTTTGAGTATTCTTGGTGTTCCCATCGCTCTACTCGCTGGATGCAGTGCTAGTCCCAAAGCCATGGCATTTGGGGGAACCTTGATCCTTGTAGGAGGTAACTTGATGTTGTCTGTGATTATGAGCTTGCAATAAAGTAACATTATTTTTGTTTCAGTGCAGGTGCTAGTGAGGGTGTGGGTTTGAACCTTAACAATGCCCACCCACGTGGCTATTATCTAAGCTATGTTGATCCTAGACAGTCCTGGATAGCAAGAAAACAGCGAGTGGCTCGTTCCATGAAATGAAAGTTGCTGTACTTGTATCCACAGGAGAAGGAGAAGGGATAGATAGATTTCTGGATACACCCACTGTGATATAATCCAGGTGCTCAGTTAACCCCTGCGACTGGTCTCCTCTCCTTAAAAGCCCCCATCAAGTGATTTAAATATTTGTTAGCTGGTAAACTAATTGACCTTGTCAACTAATGTTGTTACGACATCAAAAAAAGATTTATTTAATAAATCGAAATTAAAATAAAATGAATAGAGTTATGTGAATGATGAAATCATAAATAAAGTAACAAACTTTGGACAGTTTCGGCTTGAGACCCTGTTTCCAGTTTGTCGTCCTCACTGCTTTCTGCAGTCGTTACAACGGTCGGCAAATAATGGATGCCCTAGTCCCTGCCCAATGTGGGAACTGGAGAATGAAGAAACAAGCGCATATTTGTAGTATCTGCTCTAGATGTACACTAAGCATGTATATTATATACTAACATCAAGCATGTTTATTGAAATAAAACATTTCAAACTCCCTCATGCTCAAGTAGTCCAATTTGGAAGGGCTTATGTCTCACGTGTTACATCTTCTGCTCTACACGTCCTGTAATGATAGTCAAGTCTTCTACGTCAGGTGCCATCTCTCGTACAGACTCAAATGACAATCAGTCAGACAGAACCAGTTCTGGAATCTATGGTTGGAACAATCGACGCGCCCAGAATGCTAACAATATCTGAGGCGAATCAAATAGAGGATTTTCTCTCCGGGATCAATCTCCGCTTTGCAAATGTGGACATTAACCACACGTGAAAAGATTGCCAAAGTTATCTTCACGCTTGTGATTTCAAAAACATGATAGTTCATTTAAATTTCAATGGCAACAACAACATTTAGGTTTACAACATTGAAACACATGTACACGAAAAACATTCATGACACTATCAAATAGGAAATAAAGCAATGTGACAGTGCCCTACGAGAATTAAGAAATGTCCGCCTAGGAGTCTATACAAAGTAATGAAGACACACTTGACAGTTAGATTTCTATCACATAGATTTGAACCTTATTTCGATCTTACCTGGAAAAATGACGATGCCAAAAGTTCTGTCTCAAGCTTAGGTTAAGCCCAATGCTGGACAGGATCTGTACCAGACCTAGAGGCCTTTATAACTTTTATCAAGCTCCTCCTACATTACGCCTAAAACCATTCTCATCAAGGATATCATAGCTCCTCCCTGTGGGTAAGTTTATTCGCTGTCAGTCAGTGACTGTACCACAATTGTTTGAATTCCCACGCTAGGATCTCCTGGTCAATTTCATCTGACCAGAGCAAATAGGACAAGTCACACCTCCGGCCTACTTCACCTGTCATCACAATAAAATCAGACTGTGTCAATCTTCTGTCAACACTTTCTGCTCACCATGTCAATAGTGACCGTCGGACCGGCACTCCAGTTTAGGTAACCTCAGGGGGAGATAATGGCAAAGCCCTTGTTATCTGTTCCTGAAGGTCTGGCAGGGGGGAATAACTATCTGACACCAACAAATGCAAATCTCCAGTCAGTAAGTCTGCTTGGTCAGTCTTATCTCTGTACCTTAACATAACATCTGGGGAAAAGTTTAGTGTTTGATATGCAACGGTCCAGGAGAATGCAACTGTGATGTTCGTCTTACTTAGATTAAGGATGTATCCAAATCCCTATTTTCCTGTAACTTTCACTAAAAGAGGTTGAGGAAAGACATTCTGGAGTCACCGAGCGTATAACAATGATCATATCATCGGGAGCAACTGGTTCATAAACAGCATCTAGTCCGGAAACCTCAAGTAGTTTGCCCTTGTTAAACGTTATGGTGCATGGACAGAGTGGTTATGGAGTATCCAGATAACGAGTCAGAGGCAGACCTTTGCAAACGTGGACATAAGAAATTGAATTGGCTATGAAAGCACATAGGGCTGGAGAATTGGCTAAGGACAGACATGCATGCGTAACGAGAGCGATGTTCTGTAAGGGGACTGCTTATTTAAGACGGTATCATGCTGTGTGGCGTTAGACATCGTGTTTGTCCTCTGCCTTCTGTTTATGAGTTTCATAATTTTTGATAAGGATTTCGTCTCTTTTTCTTTACAAGCTTTGCTTTTGTTTCATAATTTGATAAGGATTTTCAAAGCTGCTTTTGTGCTGTCATATTTGTATAACAGTCTCTAGAGTTGCTCCAAATATGTATTGTTTTGTTTATTTTTTTCGTCTCCAGTATTGCGTCCATTGAATTATATATATTAATGGCTTTAATATCGTTATCTTTTCGTAATCCACTTCAATCAATTTTGTAATGCTAAATTTGCCAAATCACCTGTTTTTCTTGTCATGTCACTCCTATTACATAATATAAACATGTCACCCGTAAAATATAGATCCTTCAATACTGTGTTCACAGCAGTCAATGCTGGCTTTTTATTTCTGAACAGCATTTGTCAATACCTAACCAATCGCTGTAGCAGTTTGCAGAGAATAAATTGGTTCCTTAATAGACACGTTATTTTATGTAACTAGTCTCTATGTTTGTTTCTTATAAAAATATGTATATTGTGTAAGCAAATATATATTTACACACACACACACACACACACACACACACACACACACATATATATATATATATATATATATATATATATATATATATATATATATATATATATATGAACCCACATACACACATTAAATTCGAATGTAAACACTTTTTTTTAATGCTTTCAGTACCTGGCTGCCTTAATTTTATGCTCCCCCTAAGCAATTTAGTTGTTACTTGGAACTGATCAACTCTAGTTCCAAAAAAGTTCTCGTAATAACTACATCGGACACGAGGAGTTTAATAAATAATTATACTAGAGTTGGTTGTTGTAACAATTTTTTTTTACTTTCACAAGTTTTAAAATTTTTTTATTAATAAACGTATAGTGCGTTACCGGGTACAATGAGAGTTACTGATTGTTTAATGGTTTTCTAGGGCTGCTGTTTCTGTTGTTGTCCTCGGCGGGTAAAGGGCGGGGGATAATTTGGTGTTTTAACTTATACAGGACAACACTTTAATGAATACATTGACTTGATTCCTACAGTAATGAGTACATGTACTTGTCTACCACAGCTGTTGCTGCTGTTGTTGGCAGTGCTGTCTACATCGGGAAAGCCAAGGACAACGATGACCGCCTTGAAGCCGAATACTCTTCCTTCCTGGCATTAATAGGTTCCATCGTGGCAGGCGCCGGCGCCATCTGTCAACTCTTGTCCATCAGAACGGGCTATTATACCCTGGCTTAG